GTCATGACTTGCATGGCTGAGTTGCCACTTGTGTCGGCATCGGAAAACATGAAACTAGAGTACTTCCTTGGGCTTTCCTTCCTTGGCGCCTTTAGCGAAGCCAGGGTGATCAAAGGTTCATGCCTCAGGTGCTCTTGTTCCTTTGGCGGAGTTGATGCAGGGGTGGAAGATGCGGCAGAAAGAGCTCTTGCCTTGCTTCGAGTTATGACGCCCGAAGTAACACCGCCTACGGTGATAACGTTCTTGTTCCTTGCATTGGCTGCGAGAACAACTTGAGCCTTCTTTGATGCCATTTGTGCTTTTTGCTGATTCAAAGATAGAGATGAGAGGTAGAGATGGTCCCACCGGGCGTGCCAAATTTGTAAACACGGAAATTCCTGCGATGAACGAGACAAGAACACGTGTACAAAATAATATTTGTATTAATGATTTAGGGGTTACAATCTCTTCTACAAATTTAGCCTCTGATTCTATCTTTGTAATGGGTAGATTTGATGTTGTTGATCCAAAGGGTCGTCGGGGCTTGATCTTGGGATCAGTTGTGCGGATTTGTTGACGTCGTTGATCCAAAGGGCCGTCGGGGCTTGATATAGGGATGAACGAATGATGGATGATGAACACTTTCTTCAAGGGCCGTCGGGGCTTGATTTCGAATGAGGATTTGACGAAGAACGAAGAGAGCTTTCTTGATCCTTCGGGATTTGCTTGGGAGCTTTGGAGTTTCAAAGCTTCAAGATTTTGGTGTGAGGTGAATTGGTTATGAATTGGTCTCCCCAAAATGAATGCCTTGGCCTCCTATTTATAGAATTCCAAAACTTGATTTTTTGGATTTAAATAATTAGATGAAATAAATCATTTCTGCCAGGTGTTGACACGTGTCCTGTTTGATGAATTTTTCCGATTTATTTTTATTTTTCGTTTAGTCACATGCTATGTGTAAAATTTATGTGACACATAAACATTGAAATTTTAATTATTGATCAACATTTATTTTACCGAAATTTCGATGTCTACATGGAGGTTGATGAATCCCTTAGTCCGTTGGATGAGTCTGATGTTCCTACGAGAGAAATTAGTGGAGGGTGTTGCTTTTTGTTGACCGATGAAAATATGGACCTCGTCCATGCTGCTTTCCCGGTGGAAGTTGACAGATTTTTGCAGGAGAAGGTTTAATTTCTCTCCCCCTTTATTGTTTTTTTTTTCTTATGTATGGTTTAGTTTTCCAACTCTCTTACCAGGCTTTTTTTAAGGGCACTAAATGATCATGGTGTCCTGTTATGAATTAAGCAAAATCTTACAAGCCTGTGTGCCTAAAACTTGCAGGAACTGAAACAATTGAAAAGAAGAAAAACGACTGGTGGAAAGCCAGAAACACCAGGATCAGAAGGTGTCTAGCTAAATATCACAAAAATTTTTTTCGTTTTGCCAAAACACAATATGAGACAGAACTGAGAGAAGACTTAACCCAGAATACTGATAGTCAGATAGCTGTGTTGACTTTTGTGTATATATTCCTGTAATCTTGGGATTCTTGGTTTATTATGTTTTTATGTAAATTATTTCTTTCCTTAGTGATAGGATTGTAATATCTTATAAATCCCTCCTTGAGAGATGAATAGAGACACATTCATTACAAAACAAATGCATTCTCTTCTTGGTATTAGAGTCTAGGTTATAAAAAATTAAAAATTAAAAAAAAAAAAAAAAAACGAATCAGTCTCGCAACTAGTTGTGTAGCGCCCGTCCAACCAGCGAGCGACGCCGTTGTTGCTGACCGAGAACCGAGAACCACCAGCTGTGCAGCCATTTGTGCAGCGCTCCGTCCAACCAGCGAGCGACACCGTTCTCTGCATCCACCTACCACAACCCGCTGTGCCATCTGGTTTCCCCAGATTGAATAGCCCACAAACTTGCAGGTTATTGCTGCAACAGTCGCATCTACATTCTTGCCATCGTACCACCGTGTCGCCTCGCACCTGAACCGTACCCGTCCTTGCAACTCACGCCATATGCCTATCGTGGTTGCTTCTTCAAAGTCCCAGACCCGATAGCCACCCACGCTCTGCTACAGATCTACACTCGCCAACTGTTGTTTTTTTTCATTTCGTCATTCACTGAACTTCTGCAGTTTTGTTCTTTGCATTAAAGTTGTTTTGCTAAAGGGGTGTGATATCCACACACCCATTTTTACTTCTCCCACACCTTTTTGGTTTTCGACCGTCGGATTGGATGAATTGAAGAAGATCAAAGGACAGAAATTAACAAGGGGTGTGTGGACACCCCTTGCTAGTATGCAATTGTTCATCAGAAAAAAAAGAAAAAAAAAAAGAAAAGAAGGAAGAAAGAAAAACGACAAAAAGGACAAAAAAGAAAAAAAGAAAACAATTGTTTTTTGGGTTTTTTGGCCCACACGGGCAGAAAATCATTGATTTGGTTTTTTACCATTAATTGGTTGTTTGTGGTTAGTTGGGCTTCTTTCTTGTTGGCCCGTGTTAATTGAAGTTGCTTGGAAATGGCAGTTTGGAGTCATACTGCTCCATATCGATCCGACCGAATTGAACATGAGAATAAGACTACGCGTACAGTGTTTGTTGATGCGAATGTAGATCCTGAAAATATAGTTAAAGAAGTGTTTGCCTCTACTAATGCAGGTATGAATGGTAAGGCTTTAAAGGTTTTTGCTTATGTTACGAATAATACGTGGATAATTGATTCTGGTGCTACTCAACATATGACTTGTGATTCTAGACAAGTACAAACCCTAAAACCATCCACCAAAACTGTCGTGAGTGTTGCCAACGGTAATCATGCCCCTATTGTTGAGGAAGGAACTCTCTCCCTTTTAGATACCATTAGTCTTGATATTGTGCTTGTTGTTCCTTCTCTTGATTATAATTTATTATCTGTCGCTCAAATAACCGTCGCCCTACATTGTCTTGTGATTTTTTGGCCTTCCTTTTGTGTCTTTAAGGATATTTGGACTTGTAAGACAATTGTTTATGGTATTAGAAAGGGGAAGCTTTATTACTTGGAGCTAACACCGAGCAGTACCCAGATGTTGACTCAAGCTCTTACTATGGGAGGACCTCAGGGGGAGCAGAACAAAGCTTCGGAGGTTTGGTTGTGGCATCGTAGACTTGGACATGCTTCTTTCGGTTATTTACGAAGGTTGTTTCCTAGCCTCTTTCTTAAGAATGATGTTACTAGCTTTAAATGTGGTGTTTGTGAATTGGCTAAAAGTCAACAAGCTGAAACTAGCAAAGAAAAGAGAAAACCGTCGAGTTCAAATCTCCCCAAGTCCGTGAGACGTCGTCTTTGTTTGACTAAGGCATTTTCAGATCTGAGGCCCTTGCTGCAGCTATTTAGGAATATTATTTAAAGATATACAGTTAAGTGAGTACTACCCCTCATGAGCTTGCCATGTGTATTTTTGTAATAATTTAGGGTTTAGGTTAACATAGGGTATAGGGTTTTTGCATCTTCATTAAGTGAGCGAAGCAAGATTTCTGGTTTCTTTTGAATTTTTTAAAGCTACCTCTTTTTGTTTTGCTGTAATACTACCTCAAGTATGATGGATTCATCATCGAACTACATTGATGTAAATTCCAAGTTCCAATCGACATCTAGTGAAATCAAATCTCAAACAACTTGTAGTTTGCTATGGAAGACATGTTGCAAGTAGCTCTTTTATTTGATGCGATATGTGGAACAAATAACATAGCTGGTTAAGGAACCACCTTTGGTTGGCATGGCATGGTCATGAGTTTGGGACACATGTTAAGTTTTAACTAGACAATGGCAATCACTAAGCTTGTCGTGCTCCCTATTTTTCATCCGTTTCTCTAGATTATTGTGTGAGTTTTGATTTTCGGGTTTTCGTTAAAATATTGTGTGCACCGCCAATTTTCAGGTTTCCATTATATTATTGTGTGCGCCGTCAATATTTAGGTTTCCGTACCTACGTTAAGCTCATTGCATTACACCAAAATTGTTAATTATGCTGTTAATGCACGTTTATTTACTTCAAATAGATATTGAAATTGTTTTCATTCTTGGCTCTTCGTGCCTTTACTAACGCATACAAAATCGCGGCTACATGTTCGAGCTCATTGCATTCCGCCGAAATTTTTAATTGTGCTTCTAATGGCATATGTTTATTTACTTGAAAATTTCCAATTCTTGAGAAGCGCATATAGAATCACGATTGTACGTTGGAGCTAATTGCATTGCCCCGAAATTCTTAATTATGTGGCTAATGATATGTTTATTTCATTTACTTGAAATTTACATTGAAGTTGTTTCGGTTGATAACCACATGCGTTTACTAATGCATACTGAATCTAAAGTATGTTGGTTTCATGCTACAATTCGTAAATTAATACCAGAAAAATCATGAATAAGATTAAATGATGAATTGGAAGGTAGTTCATCTCATTCTCCATTCTTCCTTCATTCCAAGTAAGTAAACATGCCATAAAAAGATTTGAAACGTACATGACATTCTGGTCAAAACAAATCCGTAATAGGAGGGTAACTGAATAAAACACACACATATATGTAATTATTCAGTTACCCTTTACCACCTTCTTCTTCTTCTTCTATAACCGGCAGTTGTTCCTAAGTATGATTATCATGCCAATTTTACTTTTGACTTCGTTATAGTAATTAATGATTATTGTTACAGTCTCTTTTTAAATTTGCACTCCCAAGCAACTTCAACTTGTTCAGAATATTTGAAAAACTATGGATGCTCAAATCTATACCCAACTTATCTGATTTGCTGAAGAAACAAAATGTTTATCTCCTCATAATTGTAATTAACAATACTTCTCATACATATTCTGTAACAAATTGTTAGAACATACAACACTACTATTTTCAGGTAAGTTACAACACTCAGGCCCAAACTTGTACTGTATAAGGAATTCAAATATCTGCATAAATTACGGGTTATTTTTCTCGTAAAATCTTTTGTAAGATTATAGCAATCGTGCGAAGCCATGAATGATGAGAAGGCCGTCCCAGTCGAATCTATGAAGAATTGTAGTCCAGTACCTGAAGCTGTCACTGTTTTGGCTGTTGACGGTGATTCTGCATGTCTTACTTTACTATCAAGAATGCTTTGTAAGTTGGGGTATAAAGGTAACTAGCATAAAACAAAACAGTTCTCTGTTTTTGGTTGAATTTGGTATGATTATGTTTAAATTATTTTTCTCCCTGATAGTTTCTAACATAATTTACTCTTAATTCCTATCAGTTTTGACAGCAAAAAGAGCCTGTGATGCATTATCCATTGCTCAGAAGAAGGAAAGTGAGCTTCATCTTGTTCTGACTGAGGTTCACCTGCCGGACATGGACAAATATGAGCTCCTAGAAAGAATGAGGGCAGTTTCCAAATTACCAGTTGTTAGTAAGTCCTCAATCTCAAAGGCACCATTGTTTTCTTTTGTTGGCAAGACGATATTTTACACTACTCTAATTTATAGAAAAGGAAATTCAAGCTTGGGCGTAAGGCTTCATACACACTAGCCCTAGCCAATTTTTGTAACCAATGTCTGCAACACTATTGTTATTACTTTTCATTTACTTATACCGTACAAATGTCATAAAGGAGCTGTTCATTCTCTTTATCATCATTTAATGATCAACTATAAAAGATCTCATTGAATTTGGAGACTGTTCAGCCATCCATATTTGTTTATTCATCTTCGAATCTAATGAAATTTTTCTGTAGATGATATTTAGCGGTGTTAATTAAAGAGAATGAATGGTTTTGACTATAACGTTGATCCAATGAAATGATGTCACATTGTCATTAAAGAAGAAAATTACTTCTTACATGTAACAAGCCAGGTTTGTCAACATTCTATCCATAGAGTTAGGCCTCTCTGATAGCATATGTTGCTGGACTTTCCATTCTAATTTTTGAATTGTTTGTATTTTAACTTTCTCAATTTTTATGCAGTTATGTCTGATGATGATGATGAGAATGCCATGCTAGGTGGGCTGTTCAAAGGGGCAGTATATTACATTGTTAAACCACTCACAATGGACAGCCTAAAAAACCTATGGCAATTTGCATTCATCAGCAATAGAGATGCAGTCACCACCAACAACAATAGAGATGCAGTGATAGATCTCACTGCAGATGACAGCAGTGGTGAGTTCCAACAGGAGTACACATCAAATGAGGGTTTGGAGATTGAATCGATTACGAAGAAAGAGAAGCAGATCAGCCGTCGAAAATCACTGAAACGGAAAAATCCAGAAGGGATGAACAAAGATAAGGGAGGAGATAATTCTGATTCAACTTGTACCCAAAAGAAGCCAAAGATGGTTTGGACTAATGAGCTTCATAAGAAATTCGTGCAAGCTGTTACGTTGCTGGGAGTTGATAGTAAGAGTCTCTTCTTATTTTTTTTTATACAAGCAATCTAAACTGCGGGGATGGGGATTCGAGCTTGGGTTCACAGGGAAGAGCACATCCACTCTAGCCAATATGGTTGCACCCACGTGTGCAGACTCTTGATATTATTTTTTGTGCTGAATTTTATTCTTGCTTTGGTGCCATTCAGAATTATGGTAGCTAATTTATTTCTTGACTTAGGTGCTCATCCAAAGAAAATACTTCAGCACATGAATGTCCCTGGCCTGTGGAAGGAAAATGTTTCAAGCCATTTGCAGGTTTGTTTCCTCGCAAATTCATATAACAAGAAACATCAACAGATTCTTTGCTCTGTAATCCTTGATTAAGCATTATTTTCCGCAGAAGTATCGCCTCTCCTTGAAGCAGGAACAAGAAGAAATCATGATGAGGAAGGCCAGAGAAACTACAGAATCAAGTTTTCCTACATCGCCATTAAACTTTCCAGGAGGTTCTTCAAATCAGTTTCCGAAGCAATCACCCTTCACATCAACAGCATATCAACCAGAAATCAGAAGCCATTGTCGGAACCCAAGTAGTAACATGACTAGACCTTCCCCTGGTTCTACTTTTGTATGTCTTCCTAGTACTCAATCAAGCAACGAGTCAACTTTTGCATCAAACCATTTTTCATCAAATTACAAAAATGGGCAACCAACCCTAAGCAATCACTTTGGAAAGGTTGCAAGCTATATGAACTTCGATTTCCCAATATTGCTGCATAATTATATACAACAAGAAGAGCATCAGCAGCAACTTATTCAACCACGGCTTTTGTTTTCACCACCATCGCAAATGCCTTCACCTCTGCCTCCGCCAGAAGAGCAACAAGGAAATAACATTTTTGGCAGTGAAAATCAACTTCAACCACAGGTTCTACTGGCACCACCATCACTACCACCACCAGCACAGGAGCAAGGTAACCATGATGACATTTTTGGGCTTGGAAAGCAGTTTCAAACAAATGATGTGCTACTGTCACCACAAAGGAAATTGCCTTCACTGGCACCAACACCAGCAACACAGGAGCAGAAGGAAACTGATATGTTTGGGATTGAAAGAGGAGATATGGATGACTTATTCGACATTGCAAAAGGCACGACTCAGCAGTTCCATGATGTCAATTTCGATGATTTCTGGTGAGTTCTGGTGGTGATCAAGCATATATCTTGGGTTATGTTAATGCTAGTGTAAGTGTAATGTAAGCTTCATAAAAGGCTACTAATTATCCATACATACAACACATTAATACAGAAAATTATACTCAGTTGTAAGCTGTTTTCTCAATGACAAAAGTGACAGCATTATTGGACACTTAGGATTTCATATATTTAAGGTTGAGAATTGGGTGAAACTTAATTTCTTTTTTGTTAATAGATTTTAAGTTTATTGTTACAAGGACGTAGGCGACATTTCATGAATGCATATATATCATGAATGCATACATACTTTATAATTATTATTCAAATTGATCCTTCAAAGCTTGGTTTGTTTCTGTTGCAAGCCAAGCTCCTCCAATGTAAATTTGAGTCTATTTCGACTTGAAAACGAGTTGTATCGGGCCGATTTATAGCACTAATTAAGCACTGATTACGAACAGGAGGGTGATATATGTATCAAATGTTAATCTTTTTGTGCTCTGCTCTAACATTAAAAGATTTTTAATTTTAGTTTTGATGCATCAGTGGGCAAAACAGAGAAGAATTTTATGGGCTGTTTGGCTGTTTGGATATAAAATTTTGTTTTTGAAACTAAGTAGTACATTCATTATTTTTAAAATACAGAAATTGGATCTAAGAAGGTTATCCAACATTTTTTTTTATAAATAATTTTCAATTAACTATTTAGTCCTTTTTTTCTTTTTTCTATTTTTTTCCAAAAACTATTTAGTCCTTTCAATATTAACTTCTTTTTAGTTAATGCAGTGAGCGCATATGACACTTCGTGAAATGTGAATGTATGCACTTCCAGGCATATATTGATTTTTAAGTCAATCATGAAGGATCGTCAATATTTAAAAAAAAAAAAGGAAGATTAAGATTAGGCGAGTCGATCTAACACATAAGACTTGGTTATTAGTTTACCATAGTAGTCTTATTTTCTAAACCACTACAATACGGTCAGAAAGTATCAAGACCCTAATAATTAGCCATCAACTATAAAGTGGGTAGGGGTGGGTTCGGTTCCGTTTGGTTTGGTTTTGAAGAAGTTGCGGTTTCACCATAAAACCAATTGGCAATATAGGAAGTAGTCCAACCTCTTATAAGCCTTTGCAAGGTTTTTCCTCTCATCAATGTGGGATTCATTCTCAACACGTCCCCTTAAGTGTGGCGAATATTCAAGCCTAACACGTGGACAATACAACGGGATAACGTGGAGCGTGTGTGGCCGTTTGACTTCACACGTGTGACAACCTGCTCTGATACCATGAAGAAGTTGAGACTCCACCATAAAACCAATTGGCAATATAGGGAGTAGCCCAACCCTTTATAAGCCTTTGCAAGGTTTTTTCTCCCATCAACGTGGGATTCATTCTTAACAAGTTTTTTGCCAAAACCGGAAACCGAAATGAAATTACTGTTCGGTTCATTTTAGTTTGATTTTTTGTCAGTTTATGTTCGGTTCGGTTTGTATTTGGTTCGGTTTTTTTTTTTTTTTTCCAATAGCAAAAAGAATTCTTAAGAAAACAAAACTTTCAACCATTATGTAATACATATTCCAGAGGAGTATAAATAAATTCATAGTCCCATTTCAACATAATCGATAAAATAAGCATTCTAAATTTCCAATAGAATCAAAGACAATGAAAATAAACATTCAAAGTTCAATTACAATCAAGTCTTCAAAAGTCCAAAGTTAAATAAACATCAAAGTTCAAATCTTCCAAAAGTCCAAACTTCAAATAAACATCAAAGTTCAAGCTTCCACACCTAAAATAAACATTTCAAAGTCCAAACTTTAAATAAATATTCGACTTAAAATAAACATTACAACTAAGTGTCATAAACATAGGAATAAGCATCATTGAATTAAGAACTTGTGTCATCTATTACCATTTAAGACACGAAATAAGTGTCATAAACATAGGAATAAGCGTCATGATATACTAATCATGACATACGCACAGTGTCATGTATAGCTTTTAGAGACACCTAACAAGCGTTATTGAATTAAAAACGCGTGTCATCTATTTCAATTTGAGATGCAGAATATGTGTCATAAACAGAGGAATGAGCGTCATGGTATAGTAAACATGACATTTGTATAGCGTCATTTACCATAGCACTGCAGTGTCATTGAATATTACCAACGACACACAAAGCGTGTCATAAACGATTCAATACATGTCCTAAAATATGTATGATGACATATAAGAAGACTTGCATAATTCATCCAAGAAGCAAGATATTTACCTCAAATTAAACAGTATTGCTTCATAAATTTGTAATTCATCCACTACCAAAGGATTACAAAAGACAATATAATGTGTAGAGTTTCCTACTAAAATAAAACTATAAGTTCACTTAATTTAAAATTTCACAAACCAGCTAATCTAGTGTTTCATCTATTGGGATGAAGTCATCAACATACTCAGCCCACTCTATTCTTAACGCATCAATTTCATGTTGAGTGTATGTAGCTTTTTCTTTGAACTGCAACAAATCACAACCAAAGAGAACATGTCAGGACAAAAACTAATTTCAATCATTTAACTAATAAGGAGGTGGTCAATTAGCATCAACTAGCCCAGAAAGAACAAGGGTTCTCTAGTCGTATTTTTCGCTAATGTGTTTTTTTTTTCCACTCGGTATAGAGCTAATAAAACGTCAAGCGGTCCAGCAAAAGATTTAAACTTTAAAGGCCTCATCTTGATGGTAAATAACACCAAGCTCAGACACAACATGGCTTAACAAAATCAGCTCTGAACCTATTTATTTATCACATTCAAACGTAAACAAAAGATAGACTAGCATTACAATTTTATTGAAGACAAAAAAAAAAAAAATCAAGAATTAGAATCTGAATCCAGACAAGGAAAACAAAAACAAACTCATTGATGACTTGAATCAACTCAATACACGAATACCCAGGATGGTTTTGAAGAGCTAAAATCCAATTGGGCATCTTTTGGAAGATTCAAAAGTTCCAATTTCTATTGTAATTAACTTTAATTAAACACTACAAATCATGCTGACAACAATCCATCTCATCATCAATAGTGTGAACATTCAAGTAATTTAGTTCAGTTATGCCGATTTCCTTCATGGGTTACCAATGATTTGAGTAAAAACCATGGTTAGCTGTAAATTAATTTGCCTGAACTATAAATTACCTACAAAGAACTAATACTAATAAGATAGTAGCGAATACATCCGCTTAAGTGCTCTTTGTAATAGTAGTACTAACCTTGGTAATAATTGAGCAGTTTGGATCATTAATGATTTCCTTCATGTATTTCATCACATAATATCCACATTCTACAGTTCCTTCTTGCAAAGGGCACTGCATATACAAATAAAAAAGAATAAAATGTAAGTTAGTCAGATTAATTTAAAGTCAAAACACAATGTTCCTTACCTTTACTACTTTCCAATTGATGTTTTTCGACCCTTTATTCCCTTTTGAGCTTTAAACATCTTCAGTGCTCTGCACATAGAGGATAAGAACACATGAATATATACAAATCTTGAAATGCATGAAATAAAGACAAACGCATAACCAAATACTTACAGTTCAACAATGTCCTTCATTCCAGGATCTATCTGTATCCAATTAAGCGAATCCATATAATACACTAATTCCTCATAGGGGTCAATAATAGCCAACAACCAATGAAACCTACAAAACATAGATAATTGCATTCTTTATTACACAATGGTCAACTACTGATCTGTTAGGAACAAAAAATTCAAAACACATAGTACTAATAACCCTTTGTTATACGGAGCAAAAATTAATTGTCCTTTTTTGCAGTTCTGTAATCTAAGAGCTAGTGCATTTGATCTTTGTTCCTTTCTGCCAGCCTTTTGAGAGATTCTGCCAGGATCTACAAATCCAAACAATCCATCAAGATTGTTCTTCTTCAACGTTGACCAAAGTTGCCTACAAAAAAATAAGGCAATTAGTATCTTATCATTACCCAATGTGGATTGCATGCAATAGATTGTATTGTATATAAATTTAAGATTATGTCAAACCTGATGTAAATTGAAATGCAAACAGTCGATATTTTAGCCATAGAACAAAATTGAATGATGTCATCTCCACCAATAAATGTTGTGTGCTCATTTCCAAATAGATCAGATTCCATGATGATAGGCACTGTAACATCCTTATGCATGTTTTGAGCTATGAGCATAAGTGAACGTAAAGCCAAAGGTTGTTTTTGGAATCTTTGTCTGAGGTGAGGATTCGTTCTCGACTTTGCATAGATAGATTAATATAGTGAAATGAGACATATTAGTACTATAATTTTTTCCACATATTCATAAGAAAATCACGTAGGAGTACCTCATCATTTGTCACAACAAGATGCCGTGGCCAAGCTACGTGACTCCCAATTGCTTGTTTGATATTCATAGCTTCACAACTAGGTATTGGAAGAAGAACATCTTCTTTAATTGCTACATCAATAGAAACATGTAGGTTCATAGACCCAAGTGGAACTCCATGTATTGGCCTGTCTAATGGAATGACTGATCCATATGCAACAATGTTACTAGCAGTGTCTATAGCGAGCTTGCACTATTGTACCTTAAAAAAATATTTCATTCATAATCAACTACTATTGGGATTATAGCATAAATAAGGAAGACATAAAAGGCATGTACCTTCTTGATATCATATATTTTTTCCATGGAATTTGCAATTTTGTTTGTCTCATTATTGATGTTCACATCATATATGTTCTGTTGGTCACTTTGCTTTACCTTGAAAAATTAAATTTAATTAATAATTGCTACTTAAAATTGCCAAGAAGAACAAATACTGCAATGACTATGTACCTTGAAATGCTTCTTGATATCACTTTCTTTTTCGTTTGAATTTGCAATTTTGTTCGTCTTTTCCATGATGTTCAAATCAGATATTTCCTGCATATCCTTTTGCTTGACCTAAGAAAAGTAAACTTAGATTAACATGCTACTATTATAGTTAAGAAGAACAAAACTTGCATGACTAGTACATACCTTCATAGCGTCAATCTTATCCATGGTTTTAGTATTCTTGCTAACCTTTTGTTTCACTCTCTTCTTAGACATGATTTCCGGCACATCGTCATGTTTCGCTCTCTTCTTAGACATGATTTCCACCAGATCACCCTGTTTCACTTTCTCAGTAGATGTTTCATTTTTTTCTTTCTTTGCTGTGCAACTAGCTTTCTCAGAAATATGATTGGACTGTACCACATTAGATTGGGCGAACTTTTGCATCTTGCTCAACTGATCTGGAGTTAACAAAGAAGCAATCAAATTGAACTTCTTATTTAACTCCTCAATGTGTAAACTTTGCTGCTCCAAATGTGTTTGCATCATTTGTTGTTGACTCGATTGAGTTTTGCATTTTGGAGTCTTGAAGTACAATTTATGACTGATGCCAGTTCCAACACCTCTTACACGACCCGAATATTCAGGTGTTTCCAAAGCAATTGTCAATATGTCATTACTACCAGACGTTCGCAAAGTCCCATCTTCAACGGCCTTAGTTACTTCATCCTATAACAATTGGCGTTAGTATGAAATACATCAATTAAGTATCTTTCCCAACCTTACACATAAAACTTACTATTGTATCAGCGCGTACTTTCACCATCTCATTCGTATAGTTTCCCTTTTTATCAACACGCCCAAGCTTCCAAAGCACTGATCGGTCAATGTGAGCAGTGATTCCATAAGCTGATTTCTATTTGGATGAACATATCAAAATTAGATCAGATAGTTTTTATTTGTATGATAATTAAATGAATACAAAAAAAATAGGACATTACTATTTGTTCTTCCAATCTTGCATAGCCTTTTCTAGAAAGTCGATGAGGGTACTTATGCTTAGCTCGCCTCCTCGATTGTTCTTCATGGATTTTCTATCAAATGCAATTCAATAATTAGTCTTTAATAATAGCAAAACACAATATGTATCAGATGCTTCTTACTTAATTTTGAAATCATATATACGTACCATATGCTTCTCTGTCAATCTCGACCTCACAAATTCATCCCATACCGGCTGACGAATGAAATCATAGATTTCTGGTGGTTTCTTTAAGACTTCAGGTTGATCTTTGAACTTTAATATGTACTCACATGTTAGACTACTCTTGAACGTTCACCATGTCTTTGCAACACTCTTCAAAACATTCGCTCTGCTGTTTGAATGTACTATAAAGGCTTTCTACAAATGCATAATAGAATTAATCATTACTTTCACAAAGTCATACAGATGTAAAAGCTTTTTTTTTTTTTTGTTTAATTTTTTGGAGACATACCTGGACCATGTACCAAATCTTTTTTTTATAAGATGACTCTACTTCTTTCCAAGTTGGAATTGTAATTAGAACTGTGTTACGCGCCATAACACCAATAAAACTAGCTAGTTTTGCTCCTGCAAGTCCACACGGTTGTCCTTTACTGTTATATCCAACCTCCAACTGATCCCCATCACTTCTACCTCGCACCAACTCTTGCAATTGAGTTGCACCTCTTGGTTTCTTTGTTACAAAATCTTGTTCATCTTCTTCTGAATCTGTCATTTCATCAAGATATTCTGCAAGATTCATTTAAAATCAAGACAATGATCAAATTAGTAAGATGAGGAAGAAAGAAATATAAAGAACCTTAAAGGTAATGTTTGGTTCCTTGAATGAACCTTAAACGGATAGGCTCATGCCAATATTTGGTTGAGGAAGAAAGAAAAATAAAGAAATAGGGCAATTGACCATTCTCCAAAATCATAAAACCAACCTTCATTCAATTCAATTCCAATGTTCATTTCAATAAACAAATACTCCCTAAGTGACAATTGTCAATACTCGAAAAAAAGGAACAATATGAATTCAACTCCCATTTCCACAAACATTTTCATCATACTTCATCTCAGCCTAATAATCTCTAAAAAATTAAGCCTTACCAATAAGTAACAACTAAACAAGATAAATCCAAAAGTATGGAGAAAATATAAAGTCCTAATGTAATTTTAAAATATGCATTCAACATAGCATTCAATAACATATGAAATAGAGTAGATATTCCTCTGAGTGATATACTATGTATTTTCAACCCAAATGCCTTCGCAGTCATCCCGCATGTAGATATCATCAGACTCCTCAGTTAGTACATCAAATGACTCAACGGGTGGCAATTTAGTAGTAAGACATTCACATTCAATTATAGTATCTCCTAGCTCATCATCATGTAGCCAATCATATGGAGGCCCTGGCAGTACAACCGACCACCTTGAATCCTCTGGATCTGCAATGTAAAATATCTGCTTCACTTGAGTAGCTAAAACAAAACTATCTGACTTATGTCCAATTTTGTTGAGGTCAATTAATTTGATCCCAAACTCTTCTAATTTGATGCCACTTTTATTTTCAACCCAATCACACTTAAATACTACATGCTTGAATACGTTATAATTAAGTTCCCATATCTCTTGAATCACCCCATAAAAAGTCATATCTGCGATAATAGGATTCTTATCCTTAGCGCTTGAAATTTGCATCGTATTGGCTACTAAGCTTACTCCACTATTTTGAGTAACTTGTGAATCATCACGAGACTTGGTGTGAAAATTACAACCATTAACGGAATATCCAGAATATTTTGTTACTTCATCTTGAGGGCCATGTGCTATCCATCTCAAGGTTTCGGATATGTGATTATTAGGGACATTAAGCTCATCCTCAACCTGCATATGTTTGCATAATTAGTTTAAGTTCATAAACAAAAATGTTAGTACATAAGTACAATGCGAGTTTAATACCTTTTTTTGTAGCCAATAAATGAAAGTTCAATTATGTTCATCCTGAAGCCACTTCAAATTTTTTGATTTTTTAGGGTGCTCCTTAATCAAGGATTTCTTATGCTCCCTGATAATTAACATTGAGTTGGACAAAAGGATAGAAAATGTTGTAAGTAAATGAAAAATTAATGCTGAGTTAAACTATATAAATGAGTATGAGTGGTTGAACTTACTTGATATAAGGTTCCACTTCAAGTGTTTTATCCAAACCATAGTGATGTGCTTGCTGCCAATACTTTTTATCCGCCTTCAAAAATTTTCCAGCCGATAATGGATGGCCAACATCTTTATGATGTGAACGAATCTTCAACAGAATTCCAATTGGGTCTACCCCTGATAAATACTCGCTACAAACCTCTATAGCTTCTTCTGCAATATAACATTCAACCATACAACCCTCTGGACGATATTTATTTCTCACATAACCCTTTAATATTTTCATGTACCTTTCAAAAGGGTACATCCAACGAAAATAAACCGGGCCACATAAGCGAACTTCCCTAACCAAGTGCACTGTGAGATGGACCATTATATCAAAAAAGGAAGGTGGAAAAATCTTTTCAAGCAAGCACAAAGTAATCACCAACTCA